CAAAAAATAACGTCAGATAATCACTGATCCTTCAAAAATTTTGACTAAGTTGGGTAGTATTTTTTTCATTATTTTGTTAATTGAAGAACATAAAGTTCCAAACAGAAAAGAAAATGGGAAAGCTATATTAATTCTGGAATTAAAGGTCACCTTTTGCATGCTAGCAAACACAGCCCCAGTAAGACATACATGCTGATGAAGTCAGCAAGCAATTAAGGACATGACTCCTACACAACCTCTTCAGCTTACTAGTCACTTAATCATACAAGGTGTCGAGCCTTGTCATCCTGGACCAAAAACACATGCTTAATTTTCAACATGTGACTCGGTTACAGGATTCTGTGAGATTACTTTTGCATAACATTAGACACCTGTTAAAATGCTCTGCTGGATCAAAGCAGGAACGTTCAGCGTTTTGCAGGATTGCATGTTAAATGTGTTTTATCTCATCCTCCTATTGGAAAAACTCTTTGGTGGAGATATGCTTATGTAGTGGGAAGAGAGAAAGTGTCTTAGTGTCTTCTGATTGTGGTGAGGTTCTGCTTTTCAAACCTTACTGTATGGGCTGATGTTTGATAATAAGAGATTTATTTTGTTCCAATTTATTTTCAGTTGCAAATTGCATCTTCTCAGCTATTTACCTCCAGACAAGTGTGAGAGACGAGAAAGCAAAGCAGGTCATTGCAAATGCTGCTCTTCCTGAATTATATTGAGGCTATTGTCAAAAATAAACACCAAGTTCCTAAATGTGAATATATCCTGGGGAGACAGCTGTTCTTCTCAGAGGCTGGTTTCAGAACACACACACATCTTTACATCTTTTGTGGTTTTTACATTTAGCTGACTTTTATGAACATTTCCCTTGGCCTAACTGGAGCAGAGCAGCAGTTCTATCCTGCTATTGCTTTGCTCCCTGAACAATTTAAACTGTACACAACAGATTTGGGAGTCAAGTACAGAGTTTACAGTACGTCAAGGCTGGCAGCTGCTTTGGGGAATGACTGGCAGAGCCTCCACTGTAGGGGCTCTGACTCTGACAGCAGTGACTCACTGCGACTGCCACGAGGCAAAGTTGGCTGGTGGACTTAAAAAAGAATCGTCCAATGCAAACAGGCATCTGTAGGTTTATATTTTACAATGAAACATTTTTTTTTCCTCACCATAGCCTTTTAGTTGTGCCTTAGAAGTCAAAGAGTCAAAGCCAAATGATTCCTGGAAGCAAGCAAATAAAGTTACCTGGCCTACACAGTTCCAGTATGCAATATACCAAGTAAAATGAATGGAAAATGCTAAAATATGAGGCAATAAACATTTAGTTCTCCAAATTAAATCCTTTAGAAGAAATTAGTATTTGTCTTTGTGATCATTATGACGATACCTGAGCAGTTCTGGAATGCTGTGTTTGTAGATAGTAGCTATGGCCACAGCATGAGCACTGCTGTTGGAAACTGGGGGACACTCTGACTGCTTTGTGTTTTCATAGTTACATCACACACAGGAGATAGATAGATAGATAGATAGATAGATAGATAGATAGATAGATAGATATAGAAATAAATATGGATTTAGATATACACGCACACACATATATATTTGCGTTACTGCTATAGCAGTTGCTGTATTGCTCCATTCTGTTTCTTGGCCTATCTGGAATGACCAAGGGGTATCAATATTTATAAAGCAAACTGGAGAGCTTCCACAAAACCAAAAGTGTACAGAAAGAAGTCCTGGAATTGCCCTGATGTGTTTGCAGAGTGATGTACCTGTCCTGATTTGATACAACTATAAAAACCCAACACCAACCATGGAGAACTTTTAATCTGCTTCCTCTTACTGCTCCCACTGCAGTGGCTCTTTGCACACCACTGCACTTCTCTGTTCTGTCATCATCATTCAGTAGAGGGTCAAGGATTTGCTTCTTCTCTTTGGTCATCAGGGCCCACTCAGAAAAAGGGGAACTAATGGTGTAAGAGAGATATTTTAAAGGTCTTTTCATATATGTGATTTGTTTTCCATTTTGCTGACTGCTATTTCTGTAGCTCCTTTTTAAGCCTGTGCTTTAACAGTGACGGCTACTATTCTATCTTCAGAATATCCTGATATCTTCCTACTTCCTTCTCTTCTGGCTGGAAGGAAATCTCATTAGTAAAAACAGTAATAAACAGGCCCAGGTTCGTGAGAGTCAAGAGTGCTTTTAAGTGTGTGGATTCATATTTACTAAATGCACTTACAGACCTCAGACCATCCAACATGGCTTAATTAATATCGCTTCTGAGGTCATCATTTTGCTGTCACATTTTTTCAGATTCTAGCCATGTGTTTATGCATTCTGTTAATGCACAAACCATACTAATTTTCCAATAAGAAGTGATCCTATTGGCAAGAAATATCACATCTAATCAAAAGCTGTGTGATTTGGGAAACTTGATAAGAATGAGGAAGTATATATGGGCCTAACTCTTAAACAAAATACAAGGATATACAAGAATTGCTATATTAAAATGATAAAATAAAAAGCCCAAAGAAAATACTCTATGTCTGCACTATTAATTTGTATTAAATTTCTATTCATACCATATGGATTAGCCTGAACAAGGGATTTTCTTTAATATTTTATTTGGCTGGGTTGAGTGCAAGGGTTCCAGTACTCTGGAGATGATCACTCTGAATGACTGGGTGACCCATTAAAGCATTCTGCTGAGGTATGTCTTTGTCCTGCCAGCTGGAGGATTTTGCCAGGGTTAAGTGCCAAAATAGATCTCAATACAAAAGTTTTAACTAATTCAAGGAAATTGTTACGTAACCTCACTGCCAAGAATAGAGTTCACGTATACTGTTACAGAGAGATGTGATGAGGTTGAATATATTCGTATTTGCAAAGTACTTTGATAAGAAGCTGTTACAGTGTGCAATATATTATCATGCTAAATATGTACTTCAGTCTTTGAACAGGGATTGGGCAGAGAGAAAATAAGCTAAACAGAATTTTCAATTAATATGTGCTGAAATAGGTAGTCTAAATTCTATGAAAAAACTCAAAATGCTAAGGATAATAATTTGCCATGTGTAAATATATAGTTATGTGCATATTAGTATATGAAAAAACTCAAAATGCTAAGGATAATAATTTGCCATGTGTAAATATATAGTTATGTGCATATTAGTATAATCTCCTGCTAAAATTTCCTCTTTTGAGTCTTTAAGACAAGGACAGTATATCCAACCTTACGTGTTTCACATCAGCATCTCAGAGAGCAAACATTTTGCATTGCAACAAAAATCCCAGAATTATTTCATGATGTGATTTTGCTCCAGTATCCATCTGATCACTACAAATATATTATTCTTCACTCTGTTCTCATGACAAGGTAGGAATAGTAAGGAATAGTATGAAAGTAAGGCTCAGAATTAACTACGCAAGACATCTGTGCTTATATGTGAAGTCTGGTTGATACTGGGTCTCCAGCATTTGAAGTCAAGACCAAGTGCCCCACTGACCTCAGAAACACAAACCTAGCCTCTTGTCTAGAAGTACTTTTTATTATTATTTTATGCTATTTCTGTGTGTAAGTGCTTGCCCTGCCACGGCTACTGATGTTACATAAAAGCCAAGAGTGTATTCTACAGGGACATCAAAAATGTGAAGGAGGCTGTTGGACACAAACCATTGGAACTTTAGGGGTTTTTTTAACCTTGGAAAGTATTTACCTTTACTGACCCTTAAGCCAATTCTTTAACATTTACACTGTACCTTTAATCAAAGTTTAGGAAGGTTTTGTATATAACCATTAAACAAAAACATTGTGGTAAACAAGTTTA